ACTTGTCAGAGTGTACTTGGACTCGGCCCTGGACTCGGCCCTTAAAGTACTCGGAGAACTCGGTACTCGGCTTTGAGGACTCGACTCCAACACTGGAAGAGATATTCCATGGCATACCCACAAATGTATTCTTTATTGTACTTTTCAACCATACAAAGCTTCAAAATACATTTACTCAGATTTCCTGTTAATAGACAATCAAGTGCAACTGAACCCACCGACCCCACACAAAACAACTATCCTATTGTTGCTTTAATTTGGCTTGATTGAATCGCTTCACTTCCCCTGTTTCCTCCTGTTATTGATCTCAAATTAAGATTAGACATGGACAATATTTACCGTTCCATGAAAGCTACGCTTGCCAAATAGCCCCTGGATACTCCGGTCACAAAATCGAGGCTTAAACCCTGAATCTATTGATGCTAATATCAGGGAGGCTTAGATGCCGTAGCCTAGAGCATGGTAGACAATTAATCCTAAACTGCACTTATCTATGGTCATCATTCAATTAACCCACTGAAGCTGCACTGGGCTAGCTTTCAAAACAAGTTTAATCTGTTTGTTTTTACTTTTTGCAAAACTTTGAGCCGCAGATTAAGAGGCAGGGTAGGGATGAAGGGGTTGTGGAGGGATTAACAATAATAATTTCATAAATAATAATTGTGCTTATATAGCGCTTTCCATCGTATCAACAATCTCAAAGCACTTTACAATTATTACCCCATTCATCAGGCCATTAGACCACGCAGCAGCCGATATCAGTGCTCAATCGGTCCTCGACCCTCACAGGTACCCATTTATACCCCTGGGTGGAGAGAGGCAATTGTAGTTAAGTGTCTTGCCCAAGCGCACAAACACCATGTTCCTGGCAGGGTTCGAACCCACGCACCTTCGTACATGAGTCAAACACCATAACCACTGGACCCTGGTGTTCTACACATAACAGAGGGTTACCCTCTATTACACATTCAGTGCCTCATCGCAATAGTTTTCTGATTTAGGTTTTGATCATATTGTGAAAAACACAAAAACGATCACGTTTTTCATCAGGAGATACCTTTAACCCTTCTGGGAATTTTTTTTCCATTGTCTTGGTTTAAAGACCTGTCACTAGATGCAACTGATCTGCAAGGATACAGGTAGGTCTGCTAATCCCCTTTGCTACAATTCTGCAATGGAGATCCCTGAGTCTGCAGACTGGTGAGTGGAGGGGACACACAACTTGCACTACGGCATTTTAACATATAACCGACATACAGATCCTTGTCATTTGATTGGTGGAACTCGCATCACGTGACATTCGTTATTGCTCCCATTCACGCCGCAGCTCAAAAAGTACTATCCGCCCATTGGGAATGGGAAATACTATTGAACAGTTAGGATCAGTCTTGTTCCATGACACGGTATTTGTGTGCAAATGCATGCTGGTGTGCGCGTTCAGCGTTGCGCGTAGCGCTTATTGTTCCAAAGAGCCAGCGCTACGGCGTTGGGTTCAAACAATTTTCGTGAAGGGGTGGTTTGGAAGAGAGAAATACATTTTCCTCCAGTTTTGTATTGAAATATAAGTTCAAATATATCACATGACAAGGATCTATATGTCAGTTATATAAAACAAATATTGAGTGGCTTTAAATTGTGAAATGGGAGGAATATTATCGCTCGGTAAAATCTGGACTTTTCCAGTTCACTCGGCTTCGCCTCGTAAAATGGAAAAGTCCAGATTTTACCTTGCGATAATATTCCTCCTTTTCCATGCTGAGCCACTCAATATTTGTATACTATCATCTCGCCTACCCATGTTGATAAACACTGGTCCTTGTGCTGAACAAACTGTGTTCCAACATGGGGTGACAAGCACTTTCAACAGTGTACCTATTAAAATATAAGCAACTACATTGGTGTACATAACTAACTTAAACAACACAGCAGTAACAATAATGGCACACTCTTTGTACTTGAATTAACTTGGGACACCAAGCCCTGTGTACAGTGACAGTGGCTGAGGTGTGTACGTAGATTCCATCAAAATACTGCAAAACCAACAGATATTTGGAGAGCTACATGTAGAAAGTAGAAGTTTTCACAATACCATTAATCAAAGTAAAAAAATGTACATTGTCAACTATCTCACATACTGAACCTGCATGCATTTATTGCATGTTTCTTGATTTATTTAATGTATTGATTGATTGATTGATTTACATATGTATTTCTTTATTTGTTATTTAAAAATAAAAATTTTGGCCATCTAATTCCTGTCAATTTGACGTAGCATGAATCTCTTGTCTAATTCAATGCAGACAGACCACTGCTCATTATAGCCACACATCACTTGCAATATTTCAGTAGTCATGCACATGGCTACTTGCACCTTTACCGAAGTGGCAATTTCAGAGTGTCCAATCCCATAATCCATGTCATTACGGCATAAAAATCAACCTATCAACGAAATTCTAAGGTCCAATTCCCATTCATCTTGGCATTGATTTTCTCGGTCTGTTGATCCGTTACAATATTGCCATCAAGCAACACACGTTGGTGATCTGTCTTCAATAACCCAAGTGGGAGACATCATGCAGTCAAACCCGGAGTCTTTTTTTTTTTCTCTTTACAATGGATCTTCACAAGTTCCAAGGACAAGGATGATTGAGGACAAACCACATCTGAATCTTAAAAAAAGATCACGGAATAATGTATTTGGAAAACTGTGATACATTAATGAATTATGTAAATATGTGCACTTTCCTGTGTGTTAATGCATGACATTGTTGCCTTACAACATCGAAAGCACAGTTTCAAGTTACCTAATACTGGATGATGACAACATGACAAATTTTTGGAAAACTGTGATACCTTAATGAATTATGTGAATATATGCACTTTCCTGTGTGTTAATGCATGACATTGTTGCCTTACAACATCGAAAGCACAGTTTCAAGTTACCTTTACTGGATGATGACAACATGACAAATTTGCTCTTAATGTCACTGTGATACAACACATCTTTTTTCATTATTGTACCTAAACTTTTCTTAATTGGGTCATTCCACCAGGTTGGGGAACAAAGTGTGACATATGACCATATTAAGAAAAGCATGAATGCCTTGCTAGCAGCTACTCTGCATAATATTTGTTGTTGGGTGTTTGAAAAGTTTGAAATCATTTCAATGTATTTTGCCAAAATTATGAGCAAAAAATGTCATTTTGGACGTAACATTGACACCGTTCAGTGTTACGTTCAGTGTTACGTACCTGTTTTTTAATTTCTGCGATACATTACCCAAATTCACTTTGCGTACTTCTTACTATACATGCAACACAATAAGAAAAGCTTTTGTTTGGTAGTCAGGTATCAAATGGAGCAGAAATGATAGCTTGGTTGTGTGGACGTAACATTTACACAGTGTAAAACCCAAATGTCACACTTCTGTTGAGTGATTTTTACACTGTTACATCCACACTTGAGGTATTGTTTCTGCTATATTTGAACCCTGACTATACCAAAACAAAAGCTTTTCTTGGTGCTTAGGTGTCCAGTTGTAAATATGCAATGTCAGTTTGAGTAATATTTTACATGTACACGTGTAAAAAATGGCCAAAAAAGAATATTTGGATGTAACATTGACACGGTGTCAATGTAATGTCCGAATTAATACATTTTTGCTCATATACTTTCAACTGATTTCAAACTTTCTCAAATATTGAAACACCCTTAGACAAATATTATGTTAAGCAATTGTTTAGAATGCATTGATACTTTTAATAATATAGCCAAATTTATGGATGTAACATGCACTGCTTCCCAACCCGGTGGAATGACCCAATTCTGATTTGACATTCCATTTAAATACTCTAGTTTCTTGCAGTGGCTGCAATATGCGCCGCAGCACCTTGTACACCCCCTATAAGGTGCTACATAATGGGTCTCATATTTCTCATAAACTTTATTTACCTTTCTTTATTAGACATAATTTCCAGCGCCTTGAGTACCTAATTGTTGGATACCGGTACGTGCGCTATATACGACTCTGATATTATTATTATTATTATTATTTCTCAGGCCGTAATATATAGCATTAATAAACTCATACATATTTTATGTATTGTTCTGTTTTGGATTTGCAGTAAGTCATTTTTTTCCCAATAATTTCAAGTAATGAACGCATTAAAAAAAAGAAAAGCAAGAATTGGAAAAAAATATTCTTCCATTGCTGCCAAACCTGAGCAAATTTGGACAAATTACATTTAACAAAGAAAAATGTTTCCAACAGAACTCCAACTCAGATTGACTGATATTTCCCCTCCGATGAACTGCACATCTTTGCCCTTCCAGAGCATCAGGACAATGATAGTGATTGCTGGGCAGTCTGGAATGAAGACAGTCTGCTATGAATGGAATCATGGGCCAACAGACCAAAGAGGAAGTCTGCTGCGTGGCAGACAGAAATAAACATTACGTTCGCTGGGCTCAGGATAGGTAGTTTGTAGGCAGCCGCATCAAGTGCAAAGGAGAGATAGAAATGAGAGAGAATCAAAATTGGGCAAGTGCGCTTTAGACAAAATTTGTAAGGGAAATCTGAAAGTCTTGAGGATCTGGGGCTTTTTTCTTGGTACCGTTGTGCACATAATTGTCTGCTAATGAGGTCTGTGTCTATTTCACAGATATCGTAAGCAAGCACAAGAAAGAGAAAGCAAACTTATAGGGAAGTATTCATCGCTATGCACTGCTATACTATAAAGAAGAAAGGGTGAGTTTATTTCTGCATTCAATAGAGGACGTTGAACAATAGAGGACAATAGGGTCCCCAATTCCCAAGAGGTCCCCAATTTGGATGCGTGTACAAAACATATGAGAGGTCTTCCTAAAAAGTTAAGTACAAACAAAAGAGGGACAATAGGGGGCCCCGATTGCAGGCAAATACTCACTTTTGCGTGTGTGTGTTCAAGAGTTGCTCGACCGCAAAGCGGTCGACAGGCAGTGAATCGGGTACAGGCAGCGAATGAAGCTGGCGACAGGCAGCGAAGTGGGCGACAGGCAGCGAACGAAGCAGGCGACAGGCAGCGAAGGAAGCAGGCGGCAGGCAGCGAACAAAGCAGGCAACAGGCAGCGAATGAAGCAGGCGACAGGCAGCGAACAAAAGCAGGCGACAGGCAGCGAACAAAGCAGGCGGCAGGCAGCGAAGCGGGTGACAGGCAGCAAAGCAGGCGACAGGCAGCAAACAAAGCAGGCGACAGGCAGCAAAGCAGGCGACAGGCAGCGAAGCGGGCGACAGGCAGCGAACAAAGCAGGCGACAGGCAGCAAACGAAGCAGGCGACAGGCAGCGAAGCGGGTGACAGGCAGCAAAGCAGGCGACAGGCAGCGAAGCGGGCGACAGGCAGTGAACAAAGCAGGCGACAGGCAGTGAAGCAGGTGACAGGCAGCAAAGCAGGCGACAGGCAGCGAAGCGGCCGACAGGCAGTGAACAAAGCAGGCGACAGGCAGCAAACAAAGCAGGCGACAGGCAGCGAAGCGGGCGACAGGCAGTGAACAAAGCAGGCGACAGGCAGCAAACGAAGCAGGCGACAGGCAGCAAAGCGGGCGACAGGCAGCGAACAAAGCAGGCGACAGGCAGCGAAGCGGGTGACAGGCAGCAAACGAAGCAGGCGACTGATTTTGTTTATATTGTGAACATTTCATTCAACTGTAACAAACTGTGTGAAACATCTCTCACTAAAAATACAATGCAAGGTACCATACTTTTTTAGTTGTTGATGGGCAAGATGGCCTGTTGAAGCTTTGGGATTGTTGAAAATGTAATAGACTCGGTTCATCCCTAAGTCAGCCATGCATCAGTACATTAGCCTCCATGATAAAGTATCACTCTTTCCAACTTATGCTATATGCGCCAATATCAGTAGCCCATTCCCCTCATTTTTTGTGCTTCTTCAACCCAAACTTCATTACACTGCAATGTTTAATATTTTAGTCAATCTCACTTTGACAAACAATTTTATAAATAAACAGGCATACAGTCTAAATTATACGCCCTCCAATAATAAACAAAATGGAAACAGATATTTCAAGCCACCCATGAAACACATGAATCTTTCATATTTCACTTTTTATAGCACTCAGTATGTACGATTTATTCAAATAAGCCTAATGGAAGGCCCAGTTTTGTCTAGGAAGTAGCCACAGCAACTGAAAGATATGTTTATGGTCCCCTTTATACACTGATTAGGAAACTTTGCAAATGATGGCTGGCATCCTCAAAATATGACCGCGGAAAATCATTTCTATCAACTATTAGCTATTATCGTCAAGTAAACGTGAATCCTCGATCCTGATTGGTCAATCCATGGCAACAAGCCGTGCTACATATAACCATGTAGCACGGCCACGGTCCATACCGCACTCCGCGCATTGCGCTATTCTAAGATGTGTGCGCCATTCTGAACAAACACGCAAGTGAAATAGGATAACCGCTGAAAAGTTTTTAGTGCGTCAAGTTTGCTTGAAGATAAATTCGTTATCACGCTCGCGCTCGTGGAACACGGAAAATGTAGTGCGTCTGTGTCCCACATACCACTCGCCTTCGGCCTCGTGGTATGTGGGACACAGACGCACTACGTTATTCCGTGTTCCACTCGTGCTCGCGGGATAACTTATATTATTTTGAGCAAATCAGTGCCCTATTTCATGGCTGAGCTATTCACTAACTATAGGTAAAGCAAACTACCGGTATGTACCAACAGTCTACATATATTTGCACAGGTAAGCAAATCAATATACACACTATTCCTGTGCTCGAAATGTAAGTGCATGATTGTGTAAATGATGAACACAAGCACAGAAGTTTGTGGTCAGCCCAATTGAAAGGCATTTAACATGTACAGAACCCGGTACTTCACCATGACAATATATCTCTTTACATCAGATTTGCATGTACGGTATTTGCTCACAGCATTCTTTAGTCATCAGAATGATCTGGATGAATATGATTCTACTGGCTCTTGGCAACGAATACATTTCACACACATGTACATTGTCTCTTCGTGCACTTAAAGGGAATGTACAACATTTGCTTTTGCTGCAATTTTCAGAAATATATGGATTCGGAGGATTAGTATGTTATAGCAAATATTGTTAAACTGACTTGTTTCACGTTTTGGGCTTGCAGATGCTGGAAAAACCAAGAAAACCAATCATGTTCTTGTAGTCTGGTTCCCTGACCCCACTTAAGATGAAACGGAGCAATTTATAGACTTTGGGGAATTGTAAGGTCAGAGAATCAGTCTAGCAGGCTTGTACCACTTCACAGGTGTGTAATCAATTGCAAAGAAAACGTGGAATAACTAATTATGAAATATGAGGAGCAGTTTTTGAAAAAAGCCAGTTTTCTCCAACGCTGGTCGGCCAACCAGCGTTGGAAAATACCATATTTCTTGAAAATGACAGCACACCAGGAGCCACAATTTTACAGGATGCAGTTGAGACTGTCATTCCCTAACAATCCAGTAAGGTATTTCGTTATAATTTGATCATTTCGCTTTGTGATGTTTGCAAATGTTGTATCTTCCCTTTAATCTTTTCAGAGACACTAAGTGTCTCTGCAAAGAGCCTTTCTTAAATTCCTGTTATTAAGTTTGTTTGTTTGTTGGATTTTTTTTTGGGGGGGGGGATGGTTTGGGGGAAGGAAGGGAAGGGAGGCAAATTATTATTATAATTATTATAATTATTATTATGGTTTATTTATTTTTTAATTAAAAATGCCGTGCCAGTTGGGTGAAGATCTAAAACGCATCATAATTGACAAAAAAAATGTTTTTTTCACAGGTTTTTAAAAATTTTCTTTGGGGGTTGGGGAGTAGGAGAGAAATAAAAACGGAGCCATGTTGTCCAGGAAACGTTCATGGCCAAGGAAAAAACATACCTCTCAAATTACGGAACGTGCTAGCTTTTACAGATTATGCTTGCAACATGTAGGCCTATACGTGACGTATTGGTAACTTTACTGAAACGTGCTTCCATAATTGAGTTTCAGGCTTTGCACTCCCCCCCCCCCCCAACACGCACACACACTCACGCAGGCATGAAGTCATTAATGTCGGACATTAATTTGTACAATAGAGCAAATATCCCCCCTCCTCTCTCTCTCTCTCTCTCCCCCCCCCCCCCCCCCCCAGTAAGAAAAGAAAATTGATTTTCTTTCTCCCTTCTCTTTGATGGCGTTAATAATGCTTTCAGTCTAGCCTCTGCTACATCCTGAATTGGCGAGTTGAATTAGCAGCTATTAATCAAATATTTACAGTGAGCAAATGAGTTCTTTGTTAGTGATGTTTGGAGCAGGAGTTTAATTCCCCTGGATATTGTGCTCCTTCAACTACTAGGAAACCTAACCAGACAAAACACTGTCTGTCCGACAGCCAAACCAAAACAACTTCATGTTTCCTGTACTCCTACTGGTTAAACCTCGCAGCAAATTGTAACAATTTTGTAGTAAAAAATATATTTAACATTTATACAGCGGGTCTGAAAATACCCGCAACTTTTTTTACGAGGATCTAGCATCGACGCGGGAACACGTACAGCCATTATTTGATACAATTTCAAAGCTTCGAATCTCGCCTGGCGAGTATTGTTTGATATTTAAAAGAGTTTCAAAAATAGCCGTGTTCAAATAAAGGCATGTCGAAAACAAACTCAGACGATTTCAAGGAAAATCGATCATGTGATACATCAGACGCAAACTCGAGTCACACTTTGAGCGCGCTTTTTGAATAGGTGCATACAGCACGTGAATTTCGAAATTGAACTTGAAACAAAGAATAATATTGTGAATTCATTTAATATGTGGATCAAAAAGAATAGCAAACACAGAAAGTAAAAGGCAACGAGATTGTCACATCATGAATGTACCAATTCAACATTAGAAAAAAATGCGCATGATTGATTGAAATCGGTTGAGTTTGTTTATGACATGCCTTTATTTGTGAACACAAATGATTCCAAACTCTTTTGAAAATCAAACTATACTTACCAGGGATAAAGTTAAGATTCCAAGCTTTAAAATGAAAATAATGGCGGTACGTGTTTCCACGGTGACGCTTGAGCCTCGCAAAAAAAAAGGCTGCAGGTATTTTTGGATGCGCTGTATTGTGTATACTTGGTGATTTATTTCCATCACACATTATGTGTTTTAACATTCATTGTGAATTATTACGTTTAATCCTCCTAAAAAAAACAATCTTCCTGTTCCATTAGGGCAACTCCACGTAAAGTGGACATGGCTAAAAAGTGGGAAATGTATGAAATCTTCAGCACTCCAAGGCATCCCACCCTCAAATGTGGTATCATATGAAAGGGAACAAGGCCGTATATTTGAGAAGGATAATATAGAATGTGGTTAAATGTATTTGACTGGCTGTGACTGTTTATGTAACTGGCTGTGACTGTTTATGTAACTCGATACAGCTATGCTTTGACTGCAGGTGATTGATGAGCCAGCTGTGCCTATTTCCTGCCTGCTTTTGTTTGACTGAATTTGACTAGTCAGAGTGCTTGCTTGAAATATGATCTGACTGCTATTGACTAGCCTGTGTAAAATGCATGGCAGGGAAGAGGATTGATTTTTTTAACTGTCTGTGACTGTTCAAACACCAGGAATGTTGTACAGTGAGGCCTAAGCTAGAGTTGCACAAATATATAACATTTTCTTTCAAGCATTTCAAGAATATGTAAAGTCCGTAATGATGTTATTGCCCATTTGGCGAATACTGCATGGTTAAATTGTTAATATTACAACTAGGAAAAATGTCATGCCACGACGAATTGTACTGTCTGTATCCTGGATACTGCATACAAAAACACTGATTCAAAGCGATGGCCAGACACCAGACTATTTCCTACCTAATTATAATGCAACAGATTTTTTGAACATATGCAAATTATCCAGTACCAAGGCGACAGAGCAGCTAGTGGGAGCATACTGCTCGACGTCATAGGAAGGAGGTTGGTTCAATATGAGACCTTTTTTATTAGCGGGGAAATAAATCTGCATGCATGAAAGCTTTTTGTGAAGGTTATTCAATAAAATTTAATGTATGCATTTTACATTGGATGACAGAATGTCTGGGACAGAGATAGCCTTGTAAAAACTTGTATCGATGCCAAAAAAGAATTTGCAATTTCAAAACGCTAAGTATTACCAGTAAAAGCAACATCCATACCAGACTTGTATTCGAGTCACCAAATATCGAGTCCGAGTTCGAGTCAACTCTCTCAAGTCCGAGTCCCGAATCATGCAGGTCAAGTCACAAAGGTTGAGTCTGAGTGCGAGTCACGAGTCACCTTAAATATATGTTGGAAATAAATCTTGAGGTACTGCCAAAACCTCACAGTGTAAATGTTTCCATTTTTTTCACAGCTTTTTCTCTAATTTAACGAACTGGAAGTAACATGTCAAATAAAGCAAGGCATCAGTGTCTGTAGGCTTTAGTCCCGCCCCCCCCCCCCCCCCCCATAAAATATGGGGACCAGTAGCTAGT